CTTTGTAAATAATACTAAACCAAAAGTGAAACTTTTCGACACAAATTCAAAGACATTTTAGTCTTTCTTGACATTGGGAAATTGAATGTACGCTTAGATGGTTTCCATGGTTGAAAAACTAAATGGTAATTTTTTACCTAAGCAGGTGTTATTGATGTTCTTAATGCATATTTGTTCGTGAACATTTGCTTTTAAAATTTACTCTTCTACTATTTGAAATTATTCAATTTTGCCCTTTTTTTTATATTTTTGGTTCGTCTGCTTTTGTTGTAATTAACAATCAATCTCTTAGTTGCACTAATAATTGTCAAAAGGACCATGTTTAGAATGAGTGGACTCCATCTATACCCTATACTATCTTAAAAGTACGAAAACTCTTAACGAAATGTCATTCGCCATTTTTATCCTTTAAAAATAGATTTCGCATTAGACAAAATTGTTATTTAAAGTATGTTCCTAATATTTAGTATTTTGTATCAACTAAAATTTAGGTTACAAAATATTTTCTTGCTTGCTAGGTAAAAAATCCTACAATATTTAAGATATAAATTATATTAAAATTTTATTTTATATATATTCATTCCTTACTTGATCTATCTAACTTAATTATAATATTTCATAGTACTTTTGCCCAATCCTAATATTTAGGAGTTTTCCAAGATACTTTTCCTTATTTGTTTTTCTCTAAAAAAAATGAGCCTTAATACTAATTACGCTAAGGGGTTGAAAATCACTTAACTAAAACTCGAATGTGTAACAATTCGACCGGTCGTTTTGAGCTTTAGTGCGTCGTTCAGCGGTTTGAGGCGTTGGGTAGGTTCACTTCAGGTATTACAATTTTTACAGTCGGAATTGAATTTGGGGAAGTTCAGAGTTGATTCGGAAGGAAAATTCTAAATTTGGGAGCTTTAAGTTGGAAGAATTGACTAAGGTTTGGCTTTTGAGTAAATGACATCGGAATCGGGATTAGAAGGTTCAAATAAGTTCGTATGATGATTTCGGACTTGGGCGTATATTCGGATTGAGTGCCCGACAATAGTAAGCTCTAAGGAGAAGTGGTCAAGTATATTACACTGGTTGCCCCTTGAGTGTAAGGAAAGTCAGTTTAGTTCCAAATGGTAAGATTCTTGCAACACGTGATAGAGATTTCAAAAGAAATACATGAAGTTGAATTACACTCTTAACATTAACTGGCACAAGGAATCTATGCCACAAGCCCACGAGTATGAAAAAGAAGTTGAACACTTATGAGATTATCATAATTCAAATAGCTTAACCCTTCTCGATAATTTTTTTTTTGGCAATAAATGTGAATATTACCATAGCAATCAAACTGAGTTTTACATCCTATGAGCATCCAGTATATTATAACTTCTAATACATCCGGACCTCGCAAAGCAAATTAATCAATCTAGGTACAAATGAAATAATATCTACAGTGGCCTAATTACATAGTCTTCTTAAGCACACAGTCTTTGCATCATCAATGAGCATTGGCTTGCTCTCTTGGACTCTGCATACATGCTTAATCTGTCTGCTATCTCCTTCTTGATTTGCCCAACACAAAACTCCATCTTCAATGCAATTTGTCTGAAGATCCTCCAGTTCCTTGCTTGCCATGTTTGATACACCATTGCTCCTATGATTGCTGTTGCAACCTCTTTCTTCATATGCTTCCAATGCCTTCTATTGATCCATTTTAGTAGTTCTGGTATAGCCTTATTTGGTAACTTGATTCCTGTCCAGTTCATTAAAGCCTCCTTCCTATCTTTAAACCCGCTACAATCTCTGAACAAATGCTGTTGTGTTTCAAGTATTCCCTGATCACAAAGACAGCAATCTGCAGTGTCTGTTATTGGAAGATTCAGCTGCATTAATCTACCCTTTGTTTGCAATTTTTGTTGATAAGCCAGCCACAGTGCAAACCTATGCCTTGGTAGTAGTATCCTATTCCATATCAGTTTCATTTCCCTGCATCTTGGCAAATATCCCAGCATTGCATTGTAACTTCTAGACATATACTGCCCATTTCTGGTCAGCCTGTATGCATTTCCCTGGTACCAGTTTGCCATATTATTCTTTAAACTATTCAGCTTCTTCCAATACCAGCTGCAATCACTTGGTGGCCTGTGTTCCCAGATATTCCTGCATGCTTTCATATATATCCCATGCACCCATCTCACCCATAGAACCTCTTTGTTTGTCACTATTTGCCATAGTAGTTTACCCACTGATGCAATATTCCAATTTTTACAGCCTTTTATGTTCAGTCCACCATATATTTTTGGTCTGCATAGAACTTCCCATGAAACCAAAGCCATTTTTCTGTGACCTTCTACAGAACCCCATAGATATTCCCTACATTTCTTGTCTATTGCTTTTATTACACTTTGGGGAAGTATGAACACAACTCCCCAGAAGTTATATACTGCGAAGAGGACAGAGTTGATTATTTGCAGTCTGCCTGCATATGATAAAAGCTTGGCATATCCTGTTTGAATATTTGTTGTGATCTGTCCACTAACTGATGACATTCCACCTTGCTCCATTTCTTTGATGTAAGTGGAAATCCCAGGTATCTCATAGGTAGAATACCCACTGAGAACTCTGTAGCACTCACTATAGCTTGCTTGCTTTCTTCATCCATTCCTGCTAGATATATGTTGGATTTCTCCATATTTGCTACCAGACCTGATGCTGCACTGAAAAGATTCAGCACCTCCAACATCCTGTTAATAGACTGACTATTTCCTTTACAGAATAACATCAAGTCATCTGCAAATATCAGATGAGTCAGTTTGGTGCTCTTACACATTAGATGGTATTGAAACTCTGTCACTTCACTCATCTTATTTAAACCTCTTGTTAAGTATTCCATAACAAGCACAAATAGTAGTGGAGACATAGGATCTCCCTGCCTCAATCCTCTTCTTCCTTCAAAGTATCCATATCCTTCACCATTCACCTTGACTGTGAACTTAGTTGTTGTAACACATACCATTATTAGTTTAATGAAAGACATTGGAAAGCCATAGCCTCTGAGTACTTCTTCCAGAAATTCCCACCTTACCATGTCATAGGCCTTCTTTAGATCAATCTTCATCAAACACCTAGGTGTAGTCTTCCTGTTATAATGTCTTAATAGATCATGACATATTAAGACATTGTGGATAAGTGATCTTCCTTCAATGAAAGCTGCTTGGTTATCTGCTACAATCTCTGGTATGATTTTCCTCAATCTAGTGCATATGATCTTGGATATACATTTATATATAACATTGCAGCAAGCTATAGGTCTAAATTGACTTGCCTGGACAGGATTCTTCACTTTTGGTATAAAACCTATGCTGGTGGAATTGATCTGGGTGAGTAGTTCTCCATTTTCAAAGAATTCCAAAACTGCTTTTGTCATATCTCCTCCAATTATTGTCCATGCTGCTTTATAGAAGCCACTCCCATACCCATCTGGTCCAGGGCTTTTGGTGTCATTGATGCTGAATATTGTTTTCTTCACTTCTTCTCCTGTATATGGCCTTGTTGTGTTATTGATAACACTCTCCCATTTTTTAAGAATCCCTGGATGGCATGATCTCTGAATCTTCCTTTTGTTCCTAGTAACTCCTGGTAGTAGTCCACAAAAATCTCTGCAATGTCTTCTTGTTCAGTTTTGTTAGCTCCATTTTTGTCTGTTAATTGTATGATTGCTTCTTGCATCCTCCTGTATTTGATTATTGAGAAGAAGTACCTGTTGTTGTCATCTCCCAGCTTAATCCATGTAGCCTTGCTCCTTTGTTGCAGATACACCTCTGCCAGGTATGAGGATTTTTTGAACTTTGATACCTTTGCTTTTCTTCTAGCTGTAACCCAACATCTAGAGGATTCTTGTGCAATTCTTCTTGTGCTGTGACCAGTGCCAATCTATCTGCATCTGCTTCTTCTATAATGTTGCTAAAATGCCTCTTCTTTAGTATCTTCAATTCTTTCTTCAACATTTTTAGTTTCCTGACCACCTGAAACATTCTACACCCAACAATCTCCTTCATCCATACTCCCTTATCTATGTCTATAAAGTTTGGATGTGATGCCCAAACATTACAGAATTTAAATGTATCTGTTGTCCTCCTGTTAGAATTTCCCATAGACAGCTTCAATGGACAGTGATCACTAATGCCTTTTTCTAAGTATGTAACCCTGTAGGTTGTATTAAGTTGAGCCATGCTGTATTGATGAAAGCCCAATCTAATTTTGAGAAAATCCTGTTATTCCCATGCATATCACTCCAAGTATATCTGCTCCCACTAGTTGGTATCTCCATCAAGTCACACTGATCTATGCATTGTTGAAATTCAATTATTTCTGTTAGACTTACTGGATTTCCCCCAACTCTATCATCAGTATGTAAGACTGCATTGAAATCACCCATAACTATCCAAGGGCCTCCCAAATTCTTATTCATATTCTCAATGTAGCTCCACAAACTTCTTCTTTCTTCTCTGGTGTTGAATGCATACACCACAGTCATCATAAATTCTACCTGCAATCTTCTATGGCTGACCTTGTATGTAACTGCTTGGTCAGTCATTGTAATCACAGTTACATGATAGCAATCCTGTCTCCATGCCACCCAAATTCTCCATTATAATGGTTACTCAGATTTGTTATATTGCCTCATCCTCCAAATAGATTGTTAGCTATTTGGTTTATTTTGTGTGCCTTTGTTTTTGTTTCCACCATACATATCAACCCTATATCTTCTTTGTTACAAAGGAGTTTTACCTCCTTTTGTTTGTTAGGGGCATTCATACCCCTAACATTCCAACAGAGCATGTTATCCATTGGTAATGGGAGGTGAAGCTCTCCCTCCCACATTCCCCTCTCCTTTCCTGCTACCCTCTACTCCTTCATTATCCTGTGCCTCCAGTATTTGAAAGTTATTGTAGTAACTTCTGTTCCCAGCTTCCCTCCTATGTTTTGGTTGCCTGTTGGGGCTTTTTGTGACGTTACTTGGTGTTGTCCAACCAGTAGTACCCTGGTTCTCTTGAATTCTTTTCCCCCCTTCCTCTATTGTATTGTCTTGGACTTTGCTTATTCCTTCCCCCTTCCTTGCTATTTGATGATTTGTCCTGCTTCCCTGTTAGACCTGCCTCTCCTACCACTTGTTGCTCATCTGTTGGCTTAGGTTCTACTGCATGTTTTTTGTTTTTACACACCTGTTCATCATGTCCATACTTCCTACACACTTTGCATAGAGTAGGCTTCCAATCATATTGTACTTTTTGCTCCATTAATAGCCCCCTCTCATTCTTGAACACCACTTTGTCTGGTAGTTTAGTATCCATCTGTACTTCTACTAGGAGCCTTGCAAAGCTTAGCCCTATCTTCTTCTCAGTATTACTATCAACCATCAATGGCCTTCCAACTAAGCTACCAATTTTGCATAGTCCTTTGGGACTCCAGTATTTGAAGTCCAAACCAGGTAGTTTTATGCATATAGGCACAGCATATAACTCCTCGTTAGTGAACTCCATATCTATATTCCATGCTTTAACAATAAAGGTGTAACGACCCGACCCGTCGTTACGGGAGTTACCGCCCCGTTTTCCCCGTTTTATGCTTCTATATGTTTCATTATATGTGTTTGGAAAATTTGAAGTAAGTCGGATAGAGTTCGGTTAGAAATGAGACAATAAGTCTCTTTATGAGAAGGTTAGTTTGGAAAAGTCAACCGAATGTTGACTCATGAGTTAGAAGGCTCGGAATGGATTTCCGATGATTCAACTAGTTTCGGGGGATGATTTGTGACTTAGGAGCGCAATCGGAATTGAATTTGGAGGTCCGGTGTAGAATTAGGCTTGAATTGGCTAAGGTTGGATTTTGGCAAATTCCGGATGGTAGGTGAGATTTTGATCCGAGGGTCGGAATGGAATTCCGAGAGTTGCAGTAGCTCCGTTAGGTGATTTTGGATATGCGTGCAAAGTTTCAGATCATTCGGAGGTGTTTAGGTCGGGTTTTAGATCAAATGCAAGTTTCGGAAGTTTTAGTTTAACTTAGGCTTGAATCCGTGGTAATTCGATGATTTTGGTGTTTATGATAGTGTTTTTATGTTACGAGCAAGTTTGAATAAAGTAATAGAACATATCTGTGCATTTGGTTGAGGTCCCGAGGGCCTCGGGGTGAATTCAGGTGGTTAAACGAGAGTTTTGAGGTGTATTGCAGGTCAGATTTTTGCTGTCATCTGGTGTCTCCGCTTCTGCGGAAATGGACCGCAGAAGCGGTACCGCAGAAGCGGGTACGTGGTCGCAGAAGCGGTCGTTGGCCGGCTAGGGAAAATTCCGCAGAAGCGGAAGGTGGCTCGCACCAGCGGGTCCGCATAAGCGGACACTGTACCGCAGAAGCGAAAACTGGACTGGGCGACAGAAGGGTTTTAAAATAATATTTCATCCGCGACCCTTTCATATTTTTCCTCCATTGTTGACGTTCTTAAGAGCTTTGAACAAGGAAATTCGAGGGTTTTGACTGAGAATCACTTGGAGGTAAGTATCTTGGCCTAATTACTTGAGTTTATGGTACATTTATCATAGAAATCAGTAGAATTTCATCAAAAACGGGTCAAGCTAGGGCTTGGAAAGCTGTGATGTAAAAATTGAATTTGGAGAGTCAAACGAGCTCCGATTTTGGTAAACTTTATACGCACGGACTCGTGGCGAGACGAGGAATCTATTGGTGTGATTTTCGGAATTTTTCGAGAAGTGGGCTCGGGGCTCGGGTTTTGCCAATTTCGTGAAATTTTAGTACTTTTCGAGTATTTTTGATTGGGTTATGTTTCTTTAACCCATATTTATGTATTCGTTGTGATTTTGACTAGATTCGATGCGCAAGGAGGTCGATACGAAAGGAAAAGACATTTCGGACCATTCTACGGCCGGATAGAGGTGAGTAGTTGGTGTATATGATGGCCTGAGGGTTTGAAACCCCGGCTTATCACATTGTGACGCTATTGTAGGGCGTGACTCGCACCCCATGGTAGGTGCGGGATTGGTTATGACTAGGATTGAGACTTAGTCCATCCCGAACAAGAATGTTTCTGTATTGGCGACTGATACGCACCCTGTATTGAATATTTCTGGGCTTACTGCCGTGTTTGGGCCTTGTGCCGATCTGTAGCATCCTTAGAGGTTGAATGTCATTGTGATAGCATGCTTTGTATAATCATTGATCTCAGTCCTGTGTTTAATCACTGTTATGAAATGCTAAGTCACTTTTCCTGAAGTTAAATATCTAAAGTGTATTCTTCTTAATAAATTGGAAATTGGGAAATTAATTAAATCTGTTACGTGACTCATATGCATATTGTGGACTGAGTATGGATCGAGCTGCACGCCGCAGCGAATGGTATGATTATATTGCGCTGGGCCGAAGGAGCCCCTCCGGAGTCTGTACACACCCCCAGTGAGCGCCGTCGACGTTAAATGGATCGGGTTGTACGCCACAGCGTGTTCATGTGCATTGCATTGCATCCTTACATTTTACTTGACTGTATTATTTGAAGTTGTTTTGCTGTTGGATCGTAGTAAGGTGTAGGACTGTTAGTTTTAGCTTTACTTTGTGGCACTTCGTGGATTTCTTATCTTCAGACATTTTATATGCTTATTACTCACTGAGTCGGTAGTACTCACCCTTACTCCCTGCACCTCGTGTGCAGATTCAGGTACACCGGAGGCTTAGCTGAGCAGTCTTTGTTTCCCAGAGCTTATCAGAGTTGTTGAGGTAGCTGCTTGACGTTCGCAGGACCTGACTACTCTTCCTATTTCAGTTTTATTTATATATACATTTCCAGACTTGAGTATTTTCGTTTAGATATTGTTATTCAGATTGTTTTAGAGGCTCTAGACTCATGACCCCAGATCTTTGGGAGCGTTTTATCAGACTTCGTATTTTTTTTTCTCAGTATTATTCTATTATAAATATTGGGTTATTATTCTAAAACTATTATAATCTCTTTAGATTGTCGGTTTGAGGTTTACGGTTGATTTTGGAACGATTGTGGTCAGGCTTGCCTAGCAATATTGTTGAGCGCCATCACGACCGGGTTTGGGGTCGTGACAAAAGGGCTTGTTATCAAAATGATATATACCTCCTTGAAGCACCTCATTCTTCCCTATGCTAGTATTAAATCTCACAATCACTATTCCATTTTTCAACATAGAAACTTTATTAATTCCATGTTTTTCCCATATCCTTCTTACATATGCATTAATCACAGTAAATGGTGGGTGAGCTCCTAGCACATAGCATACCACAACATTCTTCCAATACTCAATTTCAGTTTTAATGTCCTCTGTCTCAATTTCACAAACAGGTGTCTCATCATGTACAATAGGTTCCACAAATTCTAGCTTAAATCCAGCATTTGTTACCTTTGTTATGTCGAAATTGTCCCATATGGTTCCCCCAGAATTTGCCTCTTGAGCAATCTCCATGATCTCTGCTTCATCAGCCCACGATAATTTTCCACTCCCAGCCCCAGTTCCCTGCGAATTTGGTGAGGTTTTTGAGGATCCCTCACCCAATTCTGGACTTCTCAGCTCCGATGGACTTGCATTTAGTGGAGTTTCACTGAAATCCACTTCAATTTCCTTTTGCTTCTTCTTCTCCTCACTGCATGCTACTGTTGCATTGCTTCCATTGATTTTCACTTTTTCAAAATGTTTCTCGAGATGTAGACCTTGCTTGCCTTCATCATTCTTCTTCCGCTGCTGGAATTCCATAGTTTCCCTCGCCATTATCGCCTTCTGCGATGGATTTCGAGCTCTCTTACCCATGGCGCACGTTAGGCTAACGTGCGTTGAGAGAGAAAACCGTCAGAGAAGGCTTCCGATAAGTAATGCTGCAATTATTCTAATCCTTCTCGATAATTGATAATTATTTTAGGTTGAACACTTATGAAATTATCGGGTGGTCGGGGAGTATTTCGGCGCTTATTGTAGAAAGTTGACATTTTGGAAGTTCAAGAATTTCATAAGTTTGAACCCCTTTGCCACTTTACTAGTCTTTTCCTTATCTCAAGAGGATTCAACAGTTTACACATAACCAATTTTGTTTTTGCCCTATTACATATGTGTAATAACAGTCATAACCGTCTAAAGAACCTCTAGTTTTAGAGAATCCATAATTTGCATCAAAAGACGATGTATTTAACACTATCGGGAAGAAGTAGACCCAAATAGAAGTTGGACGGATATAGAGGACTCATATCACCGACCCCAACTAGTTTAGCATTGAAGCATAGCTGATTGATATAGAAATATGACACAAAAATGCGAATTTATTGGCAATAGTAGTATTCCAGGAAAAGGTAATATCAAGTTAAATTTGAGAAAAAAATTAAAACTAGTGAAAATGGTCTACTAAAAATAGCAATATTGTCATCCTTAAACTTTTGGATTAATATTACTCCGCCGCTAGGAAACAGTCTCGGTTTTGCCCTTGACCCCCTAATCAAGCTCTAAAAAAGGGTAATTTTATACCATAGTCAAAAGTTGTTTTAGACCTTTTCTCTCGCGTAATTTGGACACATTTGAGTTCACACATTTCACGTTGGAGCTCTGTCAAGGGAAAATATGAGAGTATTCGATAACAAGAAGAGTGTGAATTGCTCAAAAATATAACATAAGGCAAAATTGAGCAATTTCTACCAGGGGCAGAGCTAGTCTATCGGTTACAGGTTTGGCCGAACCCAGTAGCTTTGGTTCAAACCTTGTATTTGTCTTATAAAATTCATTGAAAATGTACTAATTATTAATTTAGATGTCAGTAACTTAAAAGGATTAGAACTCCAAACTCATAACCTTCAAATCGTGGCTCCGCCTCTGATTTCTAACAGTACCAAATTTGAACCTTTTCCCTTAACAATATAACATTCCTATGGAAAAATCAATGTTAATCATGATATAAGCAAAGAAACAGAATCATAGAAAGTCAGAAAAACAATTCAATAATAGATTCTAAACACTGTATCAGTAAAAATGGAAGTAAGAGAGACCTCCAATGAATAATTTGCTGCAAGAGTGGCGTGAAGTGATCATTCTAGAAAGTAGGGTTTGATAATTTACAAAGAATCCATTTGCACGTTGCATTTGGAAGCTTGAAATTTTTTGCTTTGCCCCTTCCAATAAGCTGTATTCTTGAGCTGTCCAAGTTTTCTGTTTGCAGCTGATGAAGTGGGCCTTTAAAGAGGTAAACCGGGAATTGCAAAGGGAATGTTTACATAAATAGCCGGTCATATTAACTACTATTTATTTTTTCTGATATCGAAATAAAATTAGAAATAGCCTGATATGTAATTGCTTATCAAAAATTAGCTACAGATTCAAAAGTAATTAAAATTTAGTTACTTTTTTATATGAAAATAAATCTGAACAAAACACTCTTAAAAATCCGAAAAAATTCCAGTATAATATGTTGGAGTTCGAATTTTTTACATATGAGATTAATATGCTGGAATTTCATAATGTGCTGGAGTTCCAACATAATATGCTAGAAGTTTATACGGATGAGCTCCACAATCCAGCTGAAACTTTCCGTGTTTTAGCTAGGGTATTTTGACCAGATTTTATCTCCGCACAAAATCTTGGCTATTTTTTAATGACTTTGCTAACAGTCCGAAAATTGACTAGCCATATTATTTTTACAATATTATACAGTAATTACACACAAATATAACTATTTTTTGTTTAAGCGATTGAGTAGGCTATTGTTTAGGTTAATTCTTCAATTGGGCAAATAGACCTGAAGCCTTTTAGTCCATGTTATGTCATTTGTAGGTCCAGTAATAAAAGGAGACAAGGAGCCCAGGAGAGATTGGGCAGGTTAGAAATCATATTGCTGAAAGAAAGAACAAGGAAATTGGTCCAAATTTGTCCAATACTATCCGAAATTGTTCAATGTTGCCTTCTGTAACACTTTTGATTTATTTTTATCTTTGTTGTTAGCAAATTATTTCGTATTTATCCTTGACACTAGTGGAGCTCCAGTATGAAAGGTGTGTATTTCACGTATCAAAATTATTCAAGAAAAAGAGTTAAATTTACCCCTCAGCTTTGGCGATAGTTTAAAATTACCCTCAAATAGTAAGGAAATATTGAGAGTTTTCCCTTCTCAAATACATAAGGAATATGACCATGAGCCCCGGCTAGAATTAGCGGAAGTGCACAATTAGCCATTAATGAAAGATGTCTTTACTCTTTAGCCACAATTTAAAATGTATTTATTCTTTAGCTAGTGCTTAATAAAGTTTTACCCGTCCAGACAAAAATACCCCTGTGCTAGACATGGCTGCTGTGTAATTTTTTTTCCGGTAACTTCTATTTCTATTTCACCAAAAAAAGAAAAGATCATTACAATGCAGGAACTGCTGACCAAATCCTTGACTCTGTCGTTGTGTAAATATTAAGGACATGGTATCCTTAACTTCATGAATGCTGTGTAAATATTAAGGACAAAATGTCCTATATTTGGACCTTCCGTTGTTAAACTTTAGGACATCATGTCCTTAACTTCATATGTGCAGTGTAAATGTTAAGGACATGACGTCATTAACTTTATGTGCAGTGTAAATGTTAAGGGCATAATTCTTAACTTGTATTTGCACCTTCTGTTGTTAAACTTTAGGACCTCATGTCCTTAAATTCATATGTGCAGTGTAAATGTTAAGTACAGGATGTCCTTAACTTTATGTATGCAGTGTAAATGTTAAGGACATGGTGTCCTTAACTTTATGAGTGTTGTGTAAATATTAAGGACATGGTGTCTTAACTTCATGAATGCTGTATTAAGGACAAAGCGTCATATACTTGCACCTTCCGTTGTTAAATTTTAGGAGATCATGTCCTTAATTTTGTATGTGCACTGTAAATACTATTTTTACTCAGCATAAAAAATACTAAATAAAAACTAAATACCATGTTAAAAGTGGCTATCCATGCCATTTCTACCTAGAATTACGATTTGAAATGCGTAATTAAGGGCTTTTGGCCTTTTGCTTTCAGAACTTTCGTAGTTTGTGACTTTTTAGTATCTTTTTCCTAGAAGTGGTATACCAATTTGAAACTTCCCTTTGTATCTTTTTGTTTTTAGTGCACGGGCTACGAATTCACGTATACTTAATAACTTTGTTTAGATTTTATATTTGTATTAGTAAAATTTATTAAATATATACGAATATTTAGTTCGAAACTCAATCTGTTAATTCGATTAGTATTTTATATTAATTAGAGAATACTATAAAAACCTATGAACTTAAAATTCTGAATCCATCGTTATCTAGGGGGACTTTTGGTTTCCATTTTCTTGAATATTGACAAAATGATCTCCCAACTTTATGGCCCTTTCTTACTTTTGGACATTGAACAATACGTGGAGAATTGGAATTTAAATTCTTATAACACGTGATTGTTGGTTTTCATGGTTGAAAATTGTCTATTCATGACCTAAGAATTGAGTGTTATCCAAAGAACCTAATTCAATTAATTCGTTCATATATGACTTTGCTACCAAACATTAATTAGTATGTTAATGTGTAATGCAATTAATTAGGCAGGTGTTGTTCTGTCTTGTTTTCTTATTATTATTGTGGTACCTATAATTTCCTAAGCTAAGAGTTTATTGGAAACAACCTCTCTAACTCCACAAGGTACGTGTAAGATCTGTGTACACACCACCTTCCCCAAACCCTATTATGTGGAATTATACTGGGTATGTTGTTGTTGGTGTTGTTGATGCAAAATTAATTAGGCGGTGCAACTCACAACCGGTAATTTAGGACCATCAATATGGTAGGATGGTTGAGATTTTCTCACTTTTAATCGGAATCTTGGATTCGAATCCGGGATGAAGAACCTTCGAATAAGTTGTGCTTTATCTCTTCGTAAGCTTACTCGACGCAAATTTACATTAGTCGAGTCAATAAGTTTTACAGCTTGTTCGGATTGTTGTTACATGCCGTTTCGTAATGTATCGTATTGTATTGTACTTTATTATTTGATGAATATAATGTTTGGATAGATTGTATCGTTTATTGTTGTTTCATGATGTCACAAACCAACAATATGAAGAATAAACTTGCAATATTACTAAGAATAAATAGGATACGAAGTAACATGATTATATAAAAGAATAGGGTAAATGAGAAAATATAATTATTTAATAATAAGAAAGGGCAAGATGAGAGAAAAAAATAAGGCAACGACGTCATCGCACCAAATCATTGTTTCATAAAGTGATATTTTTCGTCGTTACGACGAATTTAATAATACGATACAATAAAACTTAAGTAACAATCAAAACAAACAGTATTTAAATTAACAATACGATACAATAAAATAGATAACAACCATCCAAACAAGTTGTTAAGAGATCAACCTTAATTTCTACTAGTATACGTACCCGCACGATGCGCGGATTGTAAAAAAAAAATATTAGCATGATAATATTGCTCTTAATTATTTGCTCATTTGAATTGTATTGAAAGTATGGTATGACAGTAGTAGCTATCTTGAAATGCGAGATAAATTATAAAATTTTGTGGCTACAATATTTTAGCAGGAGGAGACCTTGTGAGATTCTCTTAATATGCCAATCACAATGTGCATCGCCATTTTAAGTGCTTAATAAACTTTTGTGGCGATAATCCAACTTTAGAATTTATAACCATACGAAGCACGTGGACCTTTATAATCTCTGAGAACATGTGTTTTTTCTTTCATCCATTGAACCAAAGATGATC